GACCTTTTGCACACACTCACCAGCCTGCAGCTGGGTTCCCCCAGCACTCCATAAAATTTTATATGCATTCCTCCTTCCCGCATTTGTTTGTTTAAGGGTTTCTTTAGGGATTAATTGCTTGGTCTTGCAAGTAAGAGTGGAGCATCCACCTTGCCCTTTCCCAGCCCCAGAGCACTCCTGCAGAGAAGGCTGCTTTCTTGCATCCTTTTTGGGGCCTTAGGGAGGAGAGCAGTTGTGAGCAGCGACCAGTTGAAAACTGATGGTCAAGACTGTGAGTCCTGCTTGCACCCAGCATTCGTGGTTCTTGCCTTAGCATGCTGGGTCTTAACAGTGTCTCACCTACCTCTGAAGCATGATCAGTTCTGGCAGTGGGTGTCCGTAAATCCAGTGTTTTGGCCAAGAGGGAGAGCTACCAGCATTTTTTAAAGGGAAGACCTTGGTCAATGTTTCCATTCCCCTCCTGGAGCCTTGATTTCACACAGAAGCACTGAGCAGACCTGAGGAAAGCTCTGCTTTTACACTTTGCAGCAGCACAGTGGTGAACACAAGGGCCACCCAGCCAGGACCCATCAGAGTATGGTATCAGAGCGCTCTGGTCCCGTTCCATGGGCTTTCCATGCTGGACGAAGTCAGTTTTTGAAGCAGTTCAGTGTCTAGAGTGTGGCAGAGGCTGAAGGGAAGAGGGACACGCTTTCCACCTCCAGCACACAGAAAACTTTTCCAAAGCATTTCTATTATGAGATGTTTGTCCAGCTGATAGCACTGCCAAGACTGAGATTATCCTCCATGACATTGTTTGTTCAAATAATTGGCCATAAGCATTTTACAAGTTACTAAAAGTAGTAAAGAAAACAAGCACATAAGTGGCTTTGAAAACATGCTGCACCCATTGCTATTAAAGGCAGTGAGTGCACATGCGCCCTGGCACTGCTGCCTGCTCTCAGAGGGGAGCACTGCAGCATGTCTGGCCTTGCCGAAGGCAGCAAGACTTGGCCAGAGATCCATTCCCGAGCACTGCACAGCTCTGAGCCGTGGCCCCAGACAAAGATAAACCACCAGGCACCAGGGCTTGCTCACAAAGGGCACAGAGCCTAAATCCCACTGATACTGTTATGGCCAAAGCACAGCATTTCAGCAATTGAGACCTGCTCAGCCAGATCACAACAGGAACCCACATTCAGCTTTCATAAAGAACAATTTTTCATCACAGGTAATTTTCTTCTGTTTACTTCTCCCAGACCTGTTGCTCTGATGAGCAGCAGAATTCAAGACATCAATGCTCACAGCTCGTAGGAGAGACCTCCCTCCTTGTCTAAATTCTGCTTTATTAGTATTAATATATCTGTATATAGCCCAGCACTTAAAGGATTTGGGACTATACTTCGCATTTCTTCTTAGGGTCTCAAAGTGATTTTTTAGGAAGGGCTAGGACTCCATGGCCAGTTCTATAAAGGTACATAGTACCCAGGGTGTCTCTTCCCACAGATTCTTTAGAAACAAAAAATCTTCCTTTCTTTGCTGTTTTGAGCTATGATGCAAGCATCATTTCCCACTTTTTATATGTTTTTGTCAGGAATTTCTCTTATGTACCAAAAATACTGAGATACACATGAAAGAGAGTTCACCAGCTAGACAATGCTTTGGGGAAGCCAGAATATTCCTGACATTTGGGTATTCCAATTTATTTAATCCTTCTTTTAATCCACAAAGCTATTAAGTTATTCTGCTCACCCCACCTTTGCCCACCAGAAAGTTTAAAGAAAGCAAACCTTGCTCCTTTAACTCATTAGACTAGCAAGACCATCCCAAAGTAGATGTTTGGACTGCTTGTATTAAACTTCAATCCTGTAGACAACACACCTCCTTAAAATCTACAGTATCAGGCAAGGCTCTTGACATCAGCTATAAACAATTTCTGAAGTGGGTGTGCTGGGCTATAAATCCCAACTGCCAGATAAATCAGTGACTGAAGAATAGACAAAACACAATTACGGTCATGCAGTGGGTGGAATATATTTTAATAGAAGATCTGCAGTGGATCAGCTTTTCCATTAAAGCCGGAAGGATTCCACCTCAGCCAAGACACGATGCACTCCAGAAAACCCTCCTAGCAGATGAAGTGAGACAACCAAAATCCCTGCATGCAGAGCACAAAGAGGTGAGCCTGGAAATGACAACCCAAGAGCTCAATGTTTGTAATTGAATGGACCACAGTGGGAAAGCATTTGTTAAAAACGTAGCCAGAGAGAAAAATCATGCAGCTGTTCTTCTCAAGGACCATGTCTTTACATCGTCTCTGCAGCATCCAATGTGGTAGTGACGCTGGCTACTGCTGACTGCAGCGATGATGCTCAGGAAGCTGAAGCTGGACAGGTAATGCCAAGCACTTCTTGCAAAGGAGCACTGGTCACAGCAGCACACAGGATACGCCTGCGATCATCATCATCATGGATCAATACTCAGCCCCCAGCCAAGGTCTAGCTCTCCATGGTGTTGAGCGATGGCACACCGCTGCACTGCTTCCACCCCAAGGGCAGTTGCAACCAGAGCTGTCATCAGCAAGTGTGGCTCAGGCAGCAGTCACAGTCAAATTCTTGGCAAGGCAGCTGCCACCCCCCATGCATCATGGAATCGTTACAGGGAGCAGCTGGAATTGCCAAACTCACAACAAGGTGTAAAAATCTGGTCATTTTGATACTTATGGACTTCCTTGGGACTACAGTCTCTGAAGAAAGGAGGTCCTGTTGCACCACTATATTTTAGTCCTCTTAAGCAATATCTGGCAATGATGAGCTCTAAGAGCTGCATGCTTTTGGTCTCTGAAAATTTCCAATATGAAACCAAGGAGGATTAGAGCCCATGGGGCTTAAATAAGGGCTAGAACATGGCAACACTGCTGAAATTACAACCAGAAATAAAGCCTGTGTAGAATAAAAAGGACACCAGAGCAAGCAATCTATATTCTTCAGCCTGAGCTACAAAACTTCAGCTAGAAGTGAGACCATTCCTAGCAGAATCCTGCACAGAGACCAGTAGAAACCTGTCTCCTTCACAGGAAAGCAAAGGCAAAGTCATGGAGCAACAGACATTCATAGCTGTGCTGCAGCAGGAGGCAAGAGAAGCCATGGAGATCCCAGCAACAGGACACCCCTCCAAAGTGATGTTCTTGAAGGAGCAGTCCTAGCTGAGCCAGGAATACAGAAAACAAAGATTCACCCACTAAAATCTGTGGCACGGCCCCAAATACTGGATGGGATGAGCAGCGCACATATCTACCTTCCTCCAGGGCTCCCAGGACAAGCCCTTTGGCAAGGTGCCGTCACTGCTGCTCTCAGGGTGAAAATCAGCTTTTGTCCCCTAATAACTCTGAGGCAAAGCCTGTCTAACTAAATAAATGGTGTTGTTTACAGCTGAAAGATGGTCTCCATTACACAATGTGGCCATCCCAGCCAAGCTTCCAGGGAGAAGCTGTTCTTTGGGGGGTTGTTGCTCAAAAAAATGAAGAAAACAGAACGAGCTGAAGCCAAACACAGTGATTTAACAGCATAGGAAACCTATCTGCTTCTGCCGAGAAAATGATGCATCTGCAAATTTGTCTGGATTTGCAAGTTAGCCACTGTCTGTACAGAGCTGGCAGAGCAGGGGAGAGAAAGAACACACATGAAAAAGAAAAAAAGCTGAGACACCAAGAAATTAAGAACAAGAAAATGTGCCTGAAGGAAGGAAGCTGAGAGAAGGTGCTTCAAACACATCAAAACCATGAGAACTCCAGTAGAGAAGTGAGGGAGAAAACAAAAATTGAGAGTTTAAAAAAAAAAAACAAAAAACAGCAATTGTGTCACCGGTTGCCCTGCTGACACATCAGCTGCAAGGCCCAGGTCTAGTCCTTTTGGCATTGTAAGCAAAATAATAAGCCTGCAGAAGGCTGATCCCTGGCTGCTGGGTGCATAAATCAGCCCCCTGATTGCACTTTTCCTTTCAGCCTGGATATAGGATAAAAACCAGGGAGGGGCCCGAAGACAGGGGTTTTTAGGGACCCAAGCCCAACTCCAGCTACTCAGCAGCATTTTCAGACCTGGAGACAGGCAGCACCCTGGGAAGTGCAGTGTGCCCTTGGGGTGCTCTGTGTTTTGCCCAAGGGGAACATCTTTTATGACTCATAGATGGCTCAGGGATTATCCTGAGAAGAGGGTCCACCAGGACACACCATCCCCCCGCACACCTCCAACTGGCAGGGAGCATGAGGCTTGCACAGCTCCTGACAGACTCCTGTTTTACTGCAGAGGAGTCACAGCCATCGACAGGGCTATGCTCAGGGCTCAGTCACAGCTCCGCTTTCCTTGACGTCTGGATCATGGCCCAAGCCCAGGGCATCTGCCAGCACGTGCAGCCACACCAATGTAAGCACCCCTCATCTCGCATCCGGATGGGCAGAGCTGCTCTCAGCTGCCTTTGCTGAAGCCCTAACTGGAGAAAAACACAAAAATACCCTGCCAAAACAGAGGGGTTTTGAGCAAACTACCAAGTAGCTCCTGAGAATGGTGATCAACCCAGGAGGAGGAGCCTCTCCCAGACAGATCCCAAGGGAAGTCTGTTACCTGCTGCTGTTTGTAGAGGGCAGGAGGTGGGGAAAACCACTGTCAGAGCGTGATGCTCAGCTGAGCAATCTCCCTGACTCTCAGTAATGCTCTTCACAGCAGGTCGGCACTTAATCGGCTTTTATCTGCCTAAAGACTTGATCCCCATTGGTCTGCAGCAGGAAGAACCTGCTAATTTGTTTTCACTGTGCACCAAAAGCACAGCCCAACTGACCCTGCAGTGCTGGCGGTTCACCTATCCAAAAGGTACATGCTCTTTTTCTTGCCTCCTTCTCTACTATCCATCAGGTATTAGATGTGGTGGCTGACTTGTGGCTGGTCATGTTCTTTCTTGGTATATTTATATTTACTTGTGCAGCAACGGCTGGGCTGAGTCTTAATATCTCCGATTCATGCCCAAGCATGTGCAAATGTGCACCTGGAGAGATTATCCACTGTAACAGAGCTGGACTGAGAGCCCTCCCTGGAGAAATAGCAGCATCCACCATCTCTCTAAACCTCTCCAATAATTATTTGCGGATTCTGACCACCAACACCTTCAGAAACCTGACTTACCTCCACAGCCTCTGGCTAGACGGAAACAATCTGACTTTCCTGTCCCCAGGGACCTTCCACGCTCTCAGTCAGCTGCGAGAGCTGCACCTCAG